GGCCTCTTCAGGCTTATGTGCACCCCCAACACAAGACACAGAGACAGCAAAGGCTGGTTTGTTTTTTTTAAAGCATCATTATATATTATCAAAGGTAGAAAACCAAATTACATATAAAAATGTCCATAATGCCACAGCAACTCTGCTGTCTTCTCTGGAATGCACGTAGTGAGGAGGACTCTGGAAAAGCTGCCTCCTCCCTGTGGAGCACAGCAGTGCTGGGGGCTGAACAGGGACATGGAGCTTTCACCACGTTGGAAAGCAGCTTCACTCTGAAAGTGGCACCAAGGGGGTTTTCAGTGACCAGATCAGCTTGAAGAAACATCTGGCTGGGTCAATCCTGAGCACTGAATGCTGTGCTGAAGCTTTTTCTTTCAATAATTCATTGCATGCCTGTCCTTCCTGCTGCCTTTCCTGCCCTGTGATGGCACCACTGGAGTCTTGCCTGCAGCAGGACAACAGCTGGATGATGTGGCCAGATGTGCACCAGCTGGTACCCACGAGCCTGCTGGTGAACCCAGCTGATCAGACCTCAATCAAACAAGCCAAGCCATGTCCAAGCATAAACCCATGGCCAGCCAGCCTGGCTGGAAGTACTTGCTATTTTTGAGATCACAATACTGAGGCTTTTTGTTGCTGACATAAATAAACCCTGTCTGCAGTGGGGATTTTACAGCAGCAGGAGTGTGGAGATCTCTTTTGAAATTTGGCTTGGAGTTTTATTTAGGAAGGAGCATCCAGCCAGATCTGGATTATCAGCAGCTGGGGGGGAAGAGGCAAGGAGAGGCTGGGCAGAAAAGGTCACTTGAGGAAGTGGGGCAGTGAGCAAGGGAGCAGGACGTGGCTTTTGTCTGCACTTCAGGGTGCTGAGGTTGTGGTCTGCAGCATGAAGAGGATCTGTGATCCTACGTGGCCCCAGCAAACAGAGCTGGTAAAGCTCTTAAGATGAACTGGGTGGGGGGAAAATAAATCAAGCACCATTAAGCCTTATCTTAGGGCTTATTCTGCCCCCCCCAAAAAAGAGGGCATCTGAAAGTATAACTCTGAGAGTAAGACTTTTCCTGGTCTAGGCACTTATTTGTCCTGAGAAAACTCCTGCTTTGGCCAGCACTGCAGCCCCTGGAGACAGCAGCCAGATCTCCAGCTGGGAGAGGCCAGCAGCTTGTACAGACACTCGTTAAAGGACACAATTCAAGACATGATCACAAATCTAGAGGAGGCAGTGTGCTCCATCTGCCCAGCAGGGCTGGGACATAACTGGTTCAACTGATACTTAAACATGGACTTTTAAGGCTTTTTAGGACCTCTGAGCTCTCCAAAACTGCAAGTAGGAGATTGGGAGGGAAGGTGATGTCCTAATGATGGAGGACCACATCAGCCCCATGGCAGGAGCACCACAGGGACAGTCTGCATGACCAGCATTAACATCCCACCACCTCCTGCTGTACCCCATCAATGAGGTGGTCACCCCAGTGCTGACCCAAGGTGACGATGCAGCAATTTCCAGGGTCACCCCAGCAACCCAAACAGGTTTGTCCTTTCTACCAGCTCCCCCAGTCCTTGCTCTGGGTATCTAGAGTCAGCCTTGGGGGTGGAGGTGAAGCACGGTGGCCTCAGCTCACCCCTCAGGACAGTCCCCTGTGTGACACAAGCGTGGGTGTCCCAAAGGTGATGCGACCCCATGAGGGCACCCTCCATCCCTGTGGGCAACAAGCCCTCTCTGGGGGGACCTGCCACCCCACAGCCACTCACTCCTCTGAGGGAAGAGCTGCTCTGCAGATGCTTGTGGGCACAGGTGCCCAGGATTGGGCTGATGCTCACCATCCCAAGGGATAAATTCCCTCCTTCTCCTCCTAGCAGCCTGGGGGATGCTGGGCTTCATTGTCCCTTGGTAACAAGGCCATGCAGGTAGCTGTGACCATCCCCATGCCAGGAGAGGTGATGCTTCCTGCGCTGAAATACACAGAGGAGCCTTCAGTTGGATCCGGGGAGAAGCTCCTGGGAAAGGACATAACTGGGGGAAAACCAGGCTCCTGCCCAACTCTGTCCTTCTGTGCCCTCCTGGCAGTGCTGGTGCTGGGGCTGCCATCTCCACCACCCCCCTCTGCCAGCAATTTCTCCTCAGTCCAAGCAGGCTCACCAACCTGAGGACCAGTTTCTCTTATGGGGAGGGAAACGTTTTCCCCAGCATCAACACTGGTGAGTTTCCCCCTCACCCATCCTCCAGGGCAAACCTCTCTGGCACCATCATCTCCAAAAGCCGCGCTGATCACGGACGTATCTCCTGTCTTCAGAGCCAGCTCTACCAGCAGCCAGCGGTGATGGCTTGTCCAGCTGCCATCCAAACACCCTCTGAATTTCAGGAGTGGCGAGATGTTTTTGGGATCTGCCACGGTCCCTTCCCCAGCCAAGGACCTGCTGTGTCCCAACATTCCCAGACTCTGCCCAGACTGGGAACTGTCTCCAGCAACCTCATCATCACCGACAGCCTCAGCACTGCAGGTTGGCTTCAGGAAGCCCTGCCAGATCTCTGTGGACTTGGGATGGAGGAGGCTGTAATACACCACCAGAGCTGCAGCACCTGAAAAAGAGTAGAAAGGTGTCAGGGGACGAGTCCCAGCAGCATTTCAGTGAGGTGTGGAGGACAGACCAGACCCCACTGCCACCTCCAGATCAACTGACCCTTTGCAGAGATGCTGCTGGGTATCAGATGTCTGAGCAGCATGTCTTCCCAGCATTTTTAGGGATGTAAGGATCCCATTTGAGTAGCTTTCAGGAAAGGAAGTGCTGCACACACTCTCAAGACCGAATTTAATCCGGATTGATGTGCAGACTGATAATTTCTTCAAGCTCCCCTCTTTAGGGATGGGCTTTAAAGAACTGATGAAGAAATGAACTTCAAGGTTGATTTATGTACTAACAAAAATGTAAATTCAGACATTTAAGCTAGAAGAAATTCACTGGAAAGAGGGCAGATTTAGGTTGGATGTCAGGAAGAAATTCTTTGCTATGAGGGTGGTGAGACACAGGCCCAGGTTGCCCAGAGCAGCTGTGGCTGCCCCATCCCTGGAAGTGTTGAAGGCCAGGTTGGATGGGGCTTGGAGCAACTTGGTCTAGTGGGAGGTGTCCCTGCCCATGGCAGGGGTGTTGGAACTAGATGGTCTTTAAGGTCCCTTCCAACCCAAACCATTTTATTATTTTGTGATTCTATGAAATAAAGCAAATAATCTGCTGCAACTAAAATAACTGATTATTTGCTCTCAAAACATGCAATCCAGGCTCTAAAAAACCAGCAGATCTTACCTATTACAGACCCTGACGTGATGGCCCCAGTCACACACAAACTGTTCCTCAGATCAGCCCGCAGGAACCAGGTGGCCAGCAGCAGCAGGACAGTGTTTTCCATCAGCATTATCTAGAGAGCAGAGGGAACAGAGTGGTCATGTTTATCCTTTTGATGGCTCCAGACAGCCTCCTGATGGCAGAAAAAATGCACTTTCTAGATTTCGATGACTTGTTTTGCACTTCACATTGTCACTTACAACATAAGCATTGCTGAACAGAACCTTCTGCAAGGTCTTGACCTTTTTCTTACCTTGAAAAATAACTCTGGCTGAGCTGCACAGAAGTGCTAGTGTTATTAAGCCATTGGATGGTTGCTGCTAAGAAAACAAAGCCAGTGCAGAAGGTGCATCCACCTTGGTGATCACATGGTTTTATCAGGATGTGGTAAATCACAGAATCAGAACGGTTTGGGTTGGAAGGGACCTTAAAGATCATCTAGTTCCAACTCCTCTGCATGGGTAGGGACACCTCTGACTAAACCAGGTCGCTCCAAGCCCCATCCAACCTGGCATTGAATGCTTCCAGGGATGGGGCAGCCACAGCGTCCCTGGGCAACCTGGGTCAGTGTCTCACCACCCTCACAAGAAAGAATTTATTCCTCAGATCTCATCTAAACCTCCCCTCTTTTAGTTTGAAACCATTCCCCCTTGTCCTATCACTACACACTCTTGTCAAAAGTACCTCCCCATCTTTCCTGTAGCCGTCTCAGGCACTGGAAGGTGCTCTAAGGTCTCCCTGGAGCCTTCTCTTCTCCAGGCTGAACAACCCCAGCTCTCTCAGCCTGTCTCCAGAGCAGAGCTGCTCTGGCCCTCTCATCACCTTTGAGGCTCTTCCCTGAACTTGCTCCAACACATGCTGGATATTTATCAAGCGGGGATGTGAAAGCTGAGAGAGTCTGAAGCTGCTCTTCTCCTCAGCAGCTCCACCCTTGTGTAATACCAAATGCCCTGGGTACTTACTGCATAAAACATGGCCACTCTGTGCTTGGAGGGACCAGACCAGACACTGATGTAGCAGAAGGTTTACACAGCTCCCACCAGGCAATTGAACAGCCTCCAGTGGCAGGGCTGGGCCATGATGTCTGTCTGCTGGGCCACCAGCCAGAAGGACATGATCAACCAGTGGACACCTGCAAGGGGAAGGGACTGAAGGGACCGGATGCTCCATGAGCAGGAGCATCCTTGTGGCTGACAGCAGGATGGGACATGGGGAAGATGATCCCAGGTCTTACCTGCCACAGCCAAGACCCAGAAGGAATACAACACCAACCTGCCGACTGGAACATTTCAACCAGCTCCTGCTGACCCTGGTCTCCTTTGAACGCTCGTCATCTCCCTGTTTAAAACCTCTGACCACCCTCTGCCACAGGCAGGGCTCTGCAGCAGCAGGGCAGCTTCAGCTCTGGTCACTGCCATTGGACCAGAGACTGACACCAACTTGAGGGTGACCTTGTGCCCACTGTGGCTTCTACACTCCAACTTCTCAATTTGCACACCTGAAAGTTCACCTTTTCTATGAAGTGGCCCCAAAACCCAAAATGCTCAGCAGTGTGTTTAGGGATAAAGCATCAATAGGAACATAGAATTACAGGATGGTTTGGGTTGGAGGGGACCTAAAAAGATCACATTCCACTAGACCAGTTTGCTTCAAGCCCCATCCAACCTGGCCTTGAACACTTCCAAAGATTGGTATGGCTCAAACCCAACCCAGGCACTGCCTTGCCACGGGGGTCCCTTATACAGGGGACGGACTTTACCAACCAGAAGAACCCATGGGCAAGGTCAGACACTTCTCTGTGTTCAGCCACAGCCGATTTTTTATGCCACATTTATCCCTGCTGCTTTGCATCAGAGCTTCCCAACCCCCTGGCAGTGTGGTCCTCTGTCCCTAGCCTGCCCTGAGCCCTGCCAGGTGGGCACACATGTCCCCCCACCCAAATGCATCCTCCTGGGAACTCCCCGCTCACCAGGGATGAAGCCCATTGGGTCGAGGGCCAGGATGACATGGGCCTGCAGCAGGAGGTGAGGCAGGGGCTGCAGCAGAGCCTCCAGCAGCCGCAGCACACACAGGTCCCCGTGCTGTGCCAGCACCTCCCCGGCACAGGCACCACCACCACCACCCTTCAAAACATCCCAGTACCTGCAAGAGTCCCCGTGACGGGATGTCCACCCTGCTGCTGGCAGGGTTGGAACTGCACACGGGCTGGAGGGACCATGGGAAGCATCTCCCACCGCTTCCAGAGGCCTCCCTGCAGGAGGTGGAGCAGCAGGAGCCAGCAGCCAGGACCGTGACCATCTGCCCTGAACCAGAGGATGCTGAGGAGATGAGCCACGTAGCCGGGTACCTCGCAGGCAATGGGCAGCCCCAACCAGCCCAGCTGCCCACGGAGAAGACAGTGGGTGATGGCACAGAGCCCCGGAGAACAGCACAGACCCACCGCTCAGGGACGCCCAGTAGCTCGGAGACAACACCCACAGCTCGCCCCAGGTTCAGCTCCCAGTGCCGAGGGGCTCGCAGACCTTGTCCCCGCCTTGTCTGCCGCTGCCTCCGGGTGGCTCGTTGTCGCCCCCCCCCTGCCACCGAGGGGCCCAGCCCAGGGGAGGGCGCTGATAAAAAGGGCTCAGACAAAGCCTCATGCTCCAAATAAATAAAGTATTAATAATAATAGCAACAGCAACAATAGAATCCTAGAATGGTTTGGGTTGGAAGGGACCTTAAAGATCATCTAGTTCCAACCCCCCCTTACCACGGTCAGGGACCCCTCCC